AGGCAAGGACAGGGAAATAATGATGGAGTACCTCAAAGTTTGATGCGAAAACGCATGATCGCACCGGCTCGCCTGGTGCTTTCCAGCCTGGGTTCGCATTGCGTTGCTGCAAAAAACGCATAAAAAGGAAGTGTATGTTGTCATGCAGCTGGAAATTTTGAGTTGTAGAAAGTTCTAAGAAAAATAAATGTGAAGCAGAAATGGCCCATATAGAATTACTGCGCTACAAAAAATGTCTTGAATCTAGTCGTAGGAGCCATTTTTTCAGAAATCAAACGTTTTCGCGTTAGCAATTCCAGAAAATAAGAATGAAATGCTTTACTGGTTTTTAAAGACATGAGATATAATAATTAAGTAGGAGGACTCAATCATGAAGCTTTTCGTCTTCACCTCTAGAAAAATCATGATACGGCGATTCGATAATGCACGTTCTAGCTTTTACTGTACGGAAGGACGAAATCAGCGTGCGTATTGTTGTGGATTATTTTCATCCTTTCACCGCGAATTTCGACAATCTGTCGCCCGCGTCGTACACGGCCAGTTCGATAGCCGACGTGTGCGCTTATCCAGGAAGAGTGCAGGAGCACCGAATCGGTAGACGGATAGAACGAGATGATTTTACCGTTGTAATGCACGAATGTGTCGCCATTCTCCATGTTGTGCTGCACCTTCACACCCTGAAGCACCATCTTCACCACGCTACCGTTCAACTCTGCACTGAGCTGGTCATTCAGTTTAAGCCCGTTATTAGCCACGCTCCGGTCATAATTGTTCTCTTCTCGGAACAGGGTCAACGTGATGTCGCTATCCTGGTGTATGCAGAATTCGTCAGCTGCCACCGAACGATCGTTGTGCCCCTTTACTCCTCCATCGCTTATTGTGTAAACCGTGGCCGATGCAGACGGTCCTTTCACGCCTAACACGTGTACTGCGTCCTTCGTGTACCGAACACACGGCATTCGTAGCATATCAAATAGCACCTAAATAATATTCCTCGTTACGTGACTACCGAGAGCTTTCGAGCTATGTGTTGACCTAAAGACATTATCGCTGGTCTAGAAAGAACAAGAGAAAGAGTAGGCCGCTCCTACAGTGTTAAACATTTTATTTCTATTAACAACACCAGTCGTTCAGTACGGATATCCCATGTTAGTGATGTTTTTGGAATGCTCTCACAGTTGGGCCAACTATGCCAGACTTCATGATCCTGGTCCGTACACCTCTTCTTAGCACCACTGCTTGTTTCAGCATGCATATGCGGCTTTTAGGGATTGTCGTTTATTTCCTCGCAAATACTATCTACTAACGAGCAACGTCTACCGATTGTTGGCAGCGCGGGCAACATGACCTTGTTCACTGGATTTCATTTCCGTGCGCAACTGCAGTGATATACTGCACGCCGCTCTCTCGTTTTTGACATATAAATGACTAATAGTAAAAAAATGCGTTTATAGAAGTGGCAATATTTGAAATTATAAACCTGTCGGCATTTTGGCTACTTTTCTACTTAGCCTCTTGCCAGGTCAGCGTCAACTAAAATACGGTCGGAGTCCAAGACCGTATTTTAGTTGACGCTGGTCTGTCGAAAAACTAAGTAGAAAAGTAGCCGAAACTGGTTTCCAGTTCCTCATTATTGTTCTTAGAACAGGTTCGCATTTGCGCACTGCCTTCGAGTTGTTTATCTGGTAAGGCGAACTGACCTGTGTTTTAGGCACCCGGAAGGAGTTTTTCCAAATTCAATTTTTTAATAACACGAGAATCCACTGGAGAAATTAAAATCTTTTTAAAAAATGGGTTTCAGACAATTTTTCAGCGACACCTACATTTTCGTGAACGGAGGCATTTCACAAATAAGTACGAACTGGGGTATTATCGAACGACTCGCCGTCGGGTCCGGACGCGGCATGCTACCAATTGCGCCCCTACGCTTATGAGGTACATTTTAACTTATGTCAACCACTACATGTTTGCTTTCCGCTAGACTTCGGCGACGTGTATTCCCATCTAAATTTCACGATCCAGTACCACAAACACTACAAAACTTTTAATCAACGCTCGTCCAGTTTTATTATGCGTTTTTGCATAAATGCAAATGCGAAAACGCATATTGCCACGACCCCGGTGTGCGTGTGTGTGTGTGTGTGTGTGTGTGTGT